ACGGTTGGGGTTGGTTGTGTGTATCGAGACAGGTATTTGAGATCCCAGCAGAGGTATAGGGGCGCTGTGAGTCGGAATCGACTCGACGGCAGACAGCAACAACAAAGCGGAGTTCACCGGTGCAGCGGCTGAGTTTAGATGCAGCCAGATTGTGGGCTTTGTTTCCTCTGGGCGCCCGAAGCTGCAGCCGGTTCTCCTGAGCATCCTTCGGGCAGAGGTGCCCTCAGCACTGCTCTCCTTCCCGTTCCACCCTTCATCCCCCCTCTGTCTTCCCGTGGCAGGGGCAGGGTTCCACCGGTCTGGCTGTATCTCCTTAGTTTTTGTTAAATTTCATTAATTTTATTAAATTTAAATCTGAAAGGTATCTGCTTTGCAACAGTCAGGAGAAGCTGTTGTTGTTTTCATAAATCTCATCCGAGTCCCCAGTGCCTCCTGGCATATGAGGAGCTATGATTAGAGAAAAATAGAGTTAAAATCTGTAAAGTCCTTTGTGGATGAGATAGGCAGCTTAAATAAATGTACGGGTTCAGTAGAGATGATGAGGCTCCAACCTAGGGTGTAAGTGACTCCTCTTGGCCCGGTCGTGAGGGGGCTGAGTTTATTGGGGTCCTACTCTGTCCTTCCTTCTGGACTAGCTTCCCGGCAGGGACCCTGTCTTTCCCCCTGCAGTCGGCACCCCTTTTCTAGAGCTTTTTAGCCCTTTCCTGGAGTTCATCAGTTCTGTGGACCCCTGCAGATTGTGGATGTGCTGAGAATTTGTGGGTTAGCAATCGTTCCTCTCTAGAAGAGGGGGCACTTTCACGTTCCGGCAGCCCGGGGGGCCGGTGGCCGGAGAAGGAGGCTGTGTGTGATCTGGTCCGGGAGGTGCAGGCTCGCTCTGCATTTCCTGGGTGAGCTGGCGTGTCCTGAGCCGTCCTTAGCACACTTTGCTGGGCCCCAACACGAGGAGAATCACCATGGAGCCCTCGAGAGACTTAAACTGGGGCAGTTGTGTAAAAAGGCAGCTGGCAATAGAAGGTGCTGTCCCTTTTATTGAAAAACAAAGAAGGCTGCCCGATTCTGCTCCAACACGAGCCACCTGGCAGTGACGTGGAAGCAGTGCTGGCCCGTTTCTTAGGGTTTTATGGTGCCGGACTGCCTGGGAGCCCCTGAGTGACGCAGACCCTTAAGCGCTGGACAGCTAACGAAAGGTGGGTGGTTCAAACCCACCCAGAGGCGCCTCAGCAGACAGGCCTGGCGATCTGCTTCTGAACGGTCACAGCCTTGGAAGCCCTGTGGAGCAGTTCTGCTCTGCACACACGGGGTCGCCGTGAGTCGGGGTTGACTCAGTAGCAACTGACAACGGCAGACGTTGCCTGGGTCACGCGCTGTCCCCCCACACGCTGGGGACATGGCGTCTCTGAGGTGTCAGGTGTTTACCGTAAAGCTGAGTGGGATGGTGGTGGGGAAAGTGTTTAAAACCCAAGACCTCGTCTTTGTTCTTGATGCTTTGCTGTCTCCCATTTGCCAACAGGTCAAAAGCCTCAGGCGACGAGATAAGAAAGCTAGTGTGCTTTTTATCGAAGGGAACATGAATCCAAAGGGGAGAGGGTAAAAACCGCTATTACTCGTTTTTCATAAATGGCCCCTGTGCTTCAGTTCCCAGGTGAAGACTCTTGGGGGACTGGTGACCGAGGGCGGGGGGAGCCCCGTGAGCAGGACCCCAGGCCCCGGCAGAGTCACAGAGCGGAGCTGGTAAGGAGCCCTTCTCGCCAGCTCTGACTCGTTGGAGGACTAACGCAGGCGGTGGCTGTAATTAAAGGGACTGGCCCGACATGGCGGTTTTCAAAACTGTCTGCTGACCTTGAAAGGCAGCCGAACAAACGCTCCTAGACCCCCCGCCAACAGAGCTGGCCTGGGTCGGGGGCGTCTCTGCCCCGTGGGGTCCTGCCCTTCGGCTGCCTGGCCGTGACGAAGGGCTGGGTCTTG